TTTTTTTTTTGTAAAATAAAGGGCACAAATCGCCCTATCAACAAGAAAATTACAAAATTAGGTGGCGGCTCTGAACAAGTTTGCAGCTTGTAGTTTGGGATGGTCATCATGGCAAATATTGCAGGGCATTTTTCTAAAACATCTTAAAATTCCCTTCAAAGAATTATCTTCTGAAAAATGTTAAAAAGTAACATGCCACCAGTAACACTCACCAGATAACCTTCGTTCTTTGTTTCACACCATCTACATGTACCCAAAGATTCAGCTGCTTATGCATCTTCTTTCTAACAAAACTGCAGCAACTGGGAATTCCTCTTGCCTAATACCCACCAGGAATGGCTCTAATTCACACAGGACCACCGCGTGCAAGCCAAAGCACATGGGGTAACACTGATGCAATTCTCAAGTGTGTAGCATGTAACGGCTAAGGAAAAACTTAAAAAAAATAAAAAGTTTTTATATGAAGTATGGCGCTGCTATTCATGTATTTTCAAGGTCACAGAAATGATATTAACTCTCTTCAAAGCTTCTTTTCGCACAGGAAATAATGTTTGTTCTTGGGTCTTTTCTATTTAAGGAACAGCAGCACCTACTCTTGAGTAACTGCGTAAAGAGAAAATACCTGTGGCTGAAAGGGTGGAGCTGTGGGTCCCTGCATGCCTTGTGGCTGCTCTTCCATCCTGTCACGTGGAAGCCTCCTTTGTGTCCTGAAAATAGGAAATACAAGCAATCGTTACACTGTAATTCAGCTTGTATTTATGACCAGTGTACAAGAGAGGGAAACTGAAGAGCTGCTCTTTCAAATACACCTATTAATTCTCATTCACAAGCTTGAGCTTAAAAACACTGAGGTATCTCTCAGACCTGTATTGTTTGGGAGAGGAGAAGTTTCTAGTTTGGGCTGTTCTACAAGACAAAATAAATCACTATTTACACGTGTGGGCTCAGGAACAAGACGGCCCCTCGGCTGGCTCAAGGCTTGTATGTGCTGAGCACTGGCCCCTGCCTCCTCAAGGGCACCGGGGCCGCAGGCGAGCGGCCGCTGCCCGGCTACTGCCCCGCTCCGTCCATCCGCACTGCTCCTCAGCGCGGCCTGCGGCCTTCTGCTGGTCGGTTCAGTCATTGGTGCCGATTAATCCAGAGAGACCAAAAAACCTGTTTCAGGCAGATCTAGAGAAGGGATAAAGTATTCAACCAGAGTGAAAGGTTTGGAGAGGGGAAATGTAAACTGCCACTGCAAAGCTGCTCCCCTAACTGGCTGCACTGAGCACACAGCGCAGGCAAGGCCGCGAAGTCCTCGCGGCTGGGGAGGTTATCGAGCAGCCGCTGGCCGAACCGGTGCGACACGTTGCTGTTCCTGCCACACACAGGCCCTGCTGTCACCGCTGGCTTCCTTAGCGGCGTGTGCCAAAGCTCTTGGAGCTACTTGAAGCACATTCAGAGACGATGCAAAGACACAAACTAGACCAAAAGACAACTGCTCCCCTATGGAAAACACAGAAAAAGCTCATCTGCCTTAATCATCTCTCTTATTAAGGGGAAGGAAAAAGTCTGGAAATCCACAGAATTCCACCTGGGAATTATCTAGAGCCATGGTGAAGGTCACAAAGTATTGGTGCATGCTGCTACACACAGCTTAATAAGGAGCCTCACACCCATGGCAGGGAAACCTGAACAAGACTAAAGAGAAGAAATGATCAGTGGAAAACAGCGTAGGTAGGATAAAGGTAGAGGCCAACACATAAATTCTTTCTCTAAGATATCCTACAGTCCACAAGACATTCAGTAGCAACAAAATAATAGCTGCAGTAGCAAAACAGGGTAAATATGGTCTAACCTTCCCCTTCAGCAGTGAGAAACACCCCATACCTGCAAATTTCCCTCCAGAGCAAAGCAAAGCTCTCCTGAAGCTGCTGCTAAGGCAGCGGCAAGAGAGCCCAGGGCTCTGCTAGCGCAGCGAGGGCCCGAGACCCGCTCCCCAACAGCGCCAAGGGCAGCGCTGACGCTTCCCTGAAATGTATTTTAAAATACAGGTTTAATGGAAAATAAAAAGTGATACTGAGGACATTCAATATTCAGCAAGGAAGAAACAGCAGCTGCACCACAGACGAGCGGAACGGCCTTCACCCAGGAGTGCCCGTGCGGCTCCCCCGGCCGCTGCGCGCAGCTTCACTGCAGCGCTGGGGCCGCCGCAGCTCGCGCGGGGCTCTGCAAACCTGCGCTGTGGAAGGGCCTGCACCCCCTGCTTCTTGTGCCAGCACGCTGAGTCGCCAGCAAGCATTTTAAATGACAGGCTTCATTTTCCTGAGCTTTTCAATTGGTTCTACCACCTACTTGCAAAGACAGAGAATCCGCATCTCAGCAGAAAAGGTATCTACATCCACACACACACACTGCTCTCCATATCCCTCCTGCTACCCACCCTGGCTGGAACTAAAGCCCCGGGTTAATAAACCTCCCAGGCCAGCCCCTGTTTTGCCCTTCTTCACCTGGAAGGAGGCAGCAATGAGACTCAGGAGTGACTTGGGAAGCAGCAGCCTCCAATGGGGAGGATGAGGTTGCAGCGAGGATGAGGTTGCGGCCTGTTTGCCAAAAAGTTGCTTTCCTCGGTGTTCTGCATCTTGAACACAATAAATAAATAGAAGTTTGCATCTTATCAGAAAGATTTTACTTCTAACGTGAAAGGCCCTTCAGTTTCATAACTGGCTGGTATTTTTAGTGCCAAGTCTTGGAAAGAGTTAGGAAACAGCACCAGCAACAGCCTACACGGGGTATCTTAAAAGCTGCTCTAAACAATTTTAAGATTCTGGCATGTTCAAGATTTACACAGACTTGCTGTGTCCAGGGATCCTAGAACAGCACTTTGCAAGAACAACACCCCAACAGCCAGCTAAAAATCAGCTCTTACTTCCATGTTTTTGTTGATCTTTTCCCAAATGGAAAGATGAAATCAAACATAATTTAAATACCAAAACACGCTCCAACAAATTATTTGTTCACCTTTATACTGCTGGTACTTAACGTGGATATATTAAGCAGGAGTAGCAAGAGAGTCTGACTACTAAATGCATTTCCAAACCACTGGATGAGCAGCTCAGGACAAACTCACTATCTTTCCAATAAAATATTTACTCACTAATAGAGTCTCCAACTAAAGTCTGGTCAAACACATATATACTACTACGCCATTTTTCCATAAAATGGCAGGCTGCGCTCCAAGATTGTATTGGAAGTGATGAAATTCACTAAAACATTTAAAGTTTTTCAAGGAAAAGCCCAGCCACCAGCGCTGTCCGCTAGGCCCTGCGGCCGGCTGCAGTGGGTGCAACAGCCCAAAGCTCCCGAGCGCAGCCCTCGCGCTCCTCCCGCAACCCCACGCTCTGCTCCGGACACTGCTCCGCACGCTGCTCCTGCTGCACAGCAGGGAGCTTCCATGTGAATTTCGGCACAAGGTGGACCCGCTTTTCAGAGCACCGAACAGGTACTGAAATCGGAAACACTTCAAGGGTAGGAGCCAGCCTGGGAAGAAGGCAGTTTATTCGGCAAGAAGCTAAGAGTTTTGCTTGCCACACACCCGAGGGGAAAGCAGCGATGGGAAACAACAAATAGAAGAATGGAAAAAAATGAAAAGGAATAAAAAAACAAGACAAAATTTGGAAGCTTCCACAGCCCTGACATCTCCCCACTCTAGTATGCGGGGAGATGAGCCCTGTCCCTAAGTAAGGACCGGTTTTGAAAGCATCTGTACTAAGTTATTCACAAGGGGAGGTCGCTGAGATCAGGTGAACGTGTAGCAGCCCCGCTTTGGCTCTGCTCTCACACGAGGAAGGAAAGGGCGCGCAGGGGGAGCCTCCACGGAGCAAACTTTATACCCTGGGAGTAGAAAACCAGAAGGGGAGCAGATTTATCAACGCTTTGCAGCACCTACGTCAAACTTCTTCCAAACGTCTTAGTAAACATCTGATCTACAGGCTTTACCAACAATTCTTGGGGCATTTTAAAGCCACTAGGCAATCCAACACAAGACTGTTAAATAACAGCAGCAAGTTTGTAATTAATACATCAATCATCCCGAACACATTAAAGCAAAGGAGCTTGAATGTTAAATTCCTGAACAGCAGGTAAGGCAAAAGCCAAGCTAAAACTCCTCCTATAAAAAAGGTGTTGCTAACATTATAAAGTTAACTATGTACCTATTTAAATAGGTTTTAAAATATGTTTTTTACCGCCTTCTACAAATCACTGTTTCAATATCTCGTTTGAAATCCGTAGCAGACACGCGCTGCCCAAGCCCTTACACTTTGGTCACACAGCGCGGGAGCGGGGCACTGAAACGCGGGTTTCGGCAGCCGCTGGACTCCAGCAGCTGCGTTCTGCACCCAGGGCGCTCCTCCCGGCGGGGAACAACTCGCGGCCTCCACGGGGACTCGCCGCGGAGCTCAACCCTCTCCGTTGTGGCCAAAATCC